TTGCTCATATGCATGAAAATATCTGATAAAAAACAGAACTCCTTCATAAGGCAAAGATATGAATAAATGTTAATTAATAAATGCTTCTCCTATCAAACACTGAAGTTACCTCATGTCTCCAAATTCACAGCTATATTTGAACGCAAATTGTTTTCACTACTTTTAAACAGGTAAAGAATAAACATATTTTTTTAAACTAGCCAGACTCTTGGTGTACATAGACATTCTCTTAGAAGTAAATAACCCCCAAAGTTTAGAAAATAAATGGACCTCAACATATAAGTACTTCATTGTCTCCTTAAACATTTTAAAATTGCAAATTTGATGAGAGCTTTTGGTTATTTTATTTTGAAGAATATTTCACTTTTATTAGTGAAATCAATGAAAAATAGAAGATACTTAAAGTGACCTAAGTTTTAGAAATATCTAGTCTATAATTTGTTTATAAGTTATAGTTTATTCCAATTATTATCAATGTACTTTATAAACTTTATAGATTTCCTTTATTTATGTCATTAAGGGGTTTATTTTTCCTTCACTCATACATAATATGTCTTTCATTGTATTTGAAGGTATTATTCTGTTAGCACTGAGAAGCTATCCAATAGACTCTTTGCCATAATTTTGCCCATTATTGATAATGTAAAGAGAATTCATAATATTCTCACATTAGCATTCTAAAACAAAAGACTTTGGTATTAAAAAAAAATTACTACATTAGCATAGGTGTCCATATAAATTTCTTTTATTTCTGAAATAATATATTTATTACCTTATTATTATTTACAAGCAACAATATATCACTCCCTTAATATTCAATGCAATACAGATTGCATTGCATTTTACACTCTAAGGATTCATAAAGGACTGAAAAATTAAGTAGCTTGCTTCATTCACATTTTAAATCTACAGAAATAAAATAAGAATAAAATAATTTTACTTTATTTATACTAACAGATTGCATAAACTATTTAAATCTACGTTAGTAGCAGCATGCATTCAAAGAAAGAAGTGAACATGTGAAAAATTACCCAGTAAATTATTTCCTATTTAAGCTTCGTATGATATTAGTTTAAAATACAAAGTTTTTGACATTACATTTTATAATTTTATATCTATTTACCTTGATATAATCACAGAAACATAGATCATACGTGTAACAATGTGGAATTAAGCCCTATTTTTTTTTTTTAACAAGTTTTGCTTCTTCCGGAAATTTTCTGCACATGCCTCAGCAGGCATTACTGCAAGCTTGGATTTTTGGGAGCACTTATGATCTTGAAGTGCCGATTTGGAAGCATGGCCTACTTGTGCTTTATGTGAGACTATAAAAGCTCAAATTTTAAATTATTATTAAATAAATATTTACCATAAATATTTAATCTTATTCTTTCTATATTTTCTACATTATAATAATTTTCCAAAGAAAGATAATAATTATAGGTGGGGAAAATGGCTAATTAGATAAAAATGAAAGGATGCTATGAGAGCATCCTTGCCCAAACTTGGCAAAATAATTGATTAGCCATAACCATAGTACAATATCTATAGGAGAGGTATGCAGCCATCAAAGTAGTGTTTACCAATGAGACTTCATCCCAGACAGAATAAGTCATAATTTTTCTGGATACAGCACAGGATACATTTCTAACAATCCCCTTTGGTACCTATCATGTATCCAGCTGAATTCTGATCCAGGATAAGTATTTGAGGATCTAAATACCCAAACCCTAAGATCAAAACAATAAAACAAAAAGACACTTTCTACAAATTATGGAATATTTTTAATTGTGTTATCCAAACTCTTCATGAAAGAAGGAATGAATGGTTTCTCTGTCAAATCCTTAACCATTCAAAAGAAGACCATGACATTGAAATTAACCTAATAGAAAAAGCACTCCCTATCACACACACACACACACACATCCACACACACACTCACACACACACAGAGAATACATTGTTATGCCTTATTATACACAGGATATTGGCTAATATAATAAGATCTTACATTCAGGAATGATACCTTGCATATTTCATAAACTGAAAGTCTTGTCTATAACATGTAAGTTTAAGGGATAGTTAATAAATTATAATTTTTGAAACAAATACCTATGAAAGTACCTACTGGTGTTAGGAATAATCATGAAAAAATATTTGCAAATATATGTGTGAAATAGATTGAAAATATGTAACTGACATTGATTCCTTAACATGTTTGAGTCTGTTCCTACCAAATTATCAAATAGATAACATTTTCTAGGTAAATCATGGTTTTGGATTAGATTGTATAATAAAAATAATGGATTATTCTCAGATTTGGAAAAGATTGTGAACATTATGTATTTAAATATTCTTCTTAGAGTAAGAAAACATCTAACATTTATGCTATTTATGCATAATTTATATCCTCTGATTTCCCCTACTCGTCTAAAATTTATTTGAGAAAGCTTATACTAAAAGACTAATACAAAATAGTCATGGAAAAGGATAGGAGGTAATCACAGGAGCAAAGATCTGAAGATAAGGAGAAGTGTGGGAAGGTTATAAAAGCACAGAACCTGAGTTACGACAGTTATTGACACTGGAAACAAAACATCTCACACTCAACATCCTGGAACTAAATCAAACTGGGATTTTGTGGGCATTATATCATGCTCATTATTTAGAAAGAGGTAGAACATCATTTTATCTGGAGAGAGAGAAGTTAGTTGCTAGACATTTCTATAGCTTAGCATGTAGAATTTTCAAAGTCAGTTTTTAAAAAGATGTTAAAATCTTTTTATAAAATTTTATTTTATATTTATAACATTCTATTAATGGTCAGATTTATTTCTTATAAAACTTTAAAAAACTGAATCAAATTGGTAACTTTATTACAGTTCTGGCTTCAGAATTTATAATCACTTACCTTATTCTTCATATTACAAATATTTTAACAGTTTAAAAAGTTTAACAATTACAAAATGTGAAGGCAAATAGCATCTCCAAGTAAGCCTGTTGATCATTATTCAGACTGTCATCACCCTGCTCATCCTGCCCTGACTCCATAAGCTGTGTGTCAGCATCAGCTCTGAAAGAAGGCAACCAGATTCTACTCAATAATCCAGATGCAGTCTCTAGTCAACCTTTGAACATACTTCCTGCATTTTATAATCCCCCACATGATGTGTTCCACTTCCCAGAGTACCTTGCTCTTTAGGTATTTGCACATGACTCAGCTCTACAAGGTAGGTGTCCCAGTGAGACCTAGATTCAGAAGTCAGTAACCTGAGGAGGAAAATGAATGAGATGGATGCAATCTCCAAGCAAGCACCAGGCAGACATGTGTGTTTCTATAATTTGCAACAAGCACTGACAGAACTCGTGGCATGCAGGCCTGATTATTTATTACAGGTTTGGTGCTTTTTGAGTTTCTCGTAGGTCAGCCAGCAGATGTCTGGTCTTCATGAGACTATGTGCTATACCTTATTATTGTTTAATAAAATCTCCTTTCCTGCATCCAAACTTCCTGATGGGCATATGTTCCTATCAGATTACAGTACAATGATTACCAGCCATGATCAGGATGCTCTGCTAAAACTAAATTCCCCCCCCCCCCCCCCCCATGGTTTCCCAGGTGGCACAGTGGTTAAGAATCCACCTGCCAAAGCAGGGGACACAGGTTTTATCCTTGGTCAGGAAGATCCCACATGCCACAGAGCAACTAAGCCCATGAGCCACACAACTACTGAGCCCTCACGCCTAGAGCCCGTGCTAGGCAACAAGAGAAGCCACCGCAATGAGAAGCCCGCGCACCACAAGGAAGAGTAGCCCCCACTCACTGCAACTAGAGAAAGCTCACGCACAGCAACAAAGACCCAACACAGCCAAAAATAAATAAATAAAATTTTAGAAAAATAAAAATAAATCTCCCATCTTACGTGCAAGTGTTTACGTTGGGCTGCATAAACCTCAATCTAACGCATATGCTGGATTGGGCAGCTCACATCAATATGCAACATTTATTTATCCATAAAATTAGTTCTTCTTGTACAGCTATACTTTTTCATGCCAAGATGGTTTGGATACTGACTCTAGTTTTTTTTATCAATGAAGGTTAATTTCACATTTGTTCAATATGACATAAAGGCACAATATATTAATGTATTCTCCACACAGGTTCATACTCACTGCAGCTCTCCAGACTTGTCAGCCTCCTTAATCCTTACAATTAATATCTTTATATATCTATATCTATGTCTATAACTCTCCCATTGGTTTTGTTTCTCTGGGGAATCCTAATGCATATTTTGGTACTGAAAGTGGTTCTAGAGGAACAGAATTTTAAAGATGAATTTTTAAAAATTTGTTCTGAGGTATCTGAAATTATCTCTCTAATCAAGATTTAAAAATGCCGATGACTTTATTTTCAGTAGTAAAGAGAGCACAGAGAGTCCATGATGGGATCTGGCACCGAAGATAAGCAAACTATCACTTGGATATTCCTAATCAATCATGTATAAGAAGCAAGGATATGGGGGACTGTGAATACAGTACTTCCAAACATTTTGCTCAAATGAATGAATATAATGAGGTTGTTCCTAATTGTTGCTGGACAAAGTGGGGAAAGAAGAGGATGAGATTCAGGATTCAAATTCTCAGATCAAGTTCTACATAAATGACCTGAAAACATCTACATGTGCCCTGAAGGAGACCCTTATGTCCTGTCACCACAGGGCTAAGACTGCTGAAAATCAAATACAGAATCTCGTCCTGTGACCAGCAGAATTACAGTACAAGTTGAACTCCCAGTGTGAACATGAAGGCCATGATGGGAAGGAATGGGATGCTGAAAGGGGGATGAGGATGTGTGGGAAGACCCTGAGGAAGCTGGGAACACAGAGTCCCTAAATCCTAATGACTCTTCTTTCCCAGGGGAAGAGACTTCTCCGCTCCAAGTAGGAGAGTCTTCTTTTCCCTCAGTGTGGGGACTCTCCACTCCTTCTGAGGGAATTAACTCTGCATTGTCTGAGGAAATAGTAACGGTTTCCTGAGAGAGTTGTCACCGATGACAATGCTGATTCTCTTCAGAACCTACCCCCTCCACCCCTCTTCACTTCTGGGCCTATAACTAGACTCTAGTCACAGCAGGCCCTAAAGGTGAGGTGGCAAGGGTGACCTACTATACTCCAAAAGAAGTACTTGAGTTTTCTAATTTACACAGAGAGAAATCCAGGGAATATATATGAGAAGGACATTGAGGTTGTGGGATAATGGCAGAACAAATATTACATGGGGATCAGGCCAAATGTATTGATATGGGCTCACTAAGCAGAAATTTTGCCTTTCATGCTACAGCTGGGGAGATAGAAAGGGCTCTAGCAGTGTGTTTGGCTGCCTGCTGAAACATGGACCCCCAAAACGGGGGTCCACAGTGAGTGAGTTGGAAATGCCTCACCTGCCTTGGTTTAATGTAGAGGGAAGTATTTGAAGGCTTAGGGAGATTGGAATGTGAAAGAGGATTTGTCATTTAAGACCTGCTTATTTACCATGGGAGGGTCCAGAGGATATACCTTTGCCATGATAGTGAGAAATAAATTTGTGATGAGGTTCCTGGCATCCTTGAAGACCTTCTCTGCAAGCTACACCTAAGTGGGGGAATTGTAGTTACTAAAGTGAGAAATCTAAATACAGTGAAAGTAATTAGAGTTCAGGGTGACAGGGGTCAAGTGGTGAAACTCAATCACCAAAGACAAGGTGGTCATGTTTGTCATGATGGCAAGAAGTCAAAGCAGCAGTCAGAATTGTCTGCTTCCTACAGACCTATGGCACTGGCTAGTTGATCATGGTGTTCCTGGAACTGAAATAGAGGGGAAGCCTCATAGATTCTTGCTTGATCTGTATAAACAAAATGTTCTAGGTCAAGTGGACAAAAGTCTAAGTGTCCTAATTAGCATTTGGTAAATCATGGTTGTAACTGGGGCCTATAGACCTTACGAGACATGGTCCCTGCTTACCTCAAGATTGTTGTGCTTGAGGCTCTCTCTGCCTAAAAGTTTCTTCCTCTTACTCTTCACATAGTTACCTCCATCACTGTTTCTAGATCTCTGCTCACCTGTCACTCCTTAGAGTTCTCCCTTATCAATTAATCTAAATAGCTACCACCCACCACCTCACTCCCCTCCTGCCACTGTACTGTTTTCCTTCACAGCACAGTGACACAGGCATTAGACTAGACCTTCCCTTTTTTGTTGTTTTTTGTAGTCTCCCCCAGTAAACGTTTAGCTCCCTGAAGGCAGACTCTCTCTTTGTTTATCTGTGATTCCCCTAATCACTTTCCCCAAAATACTACCATGTCTAAAAAATAGTATGCATAATAATTGATTATCTACTAATAATTATCTATTGGATGAGTGAGTGAATAAATGAATAAATGAAGTATATAAGTACTCATCAATAATGCTTTAAATGGTTCCTGTATCAATGTTAAAATCAAAATAAATTCTTTTTTTTTAAATGCAGAAATAATTTACATTTCTCCATTTATGTGACATCTTGATTATTTACAGTTTACCATAGATTTTATAAAAAGAGAATGTTTATTCTCTTACTAATATGAATTCAATTTTGTGATTTTGGTGTTCAATAACTTGAGGAGTAGAGGATTCTTCAGACCATCTCATTTTCTTAGATGGAAAGCTGTAGCCTCTCCCATTGCGGAGCACAGACTCCGGATGCGCAGACTCAGCGGCCATGGCTCACGGGCCTAGCCGCTCTGCGGCATGTGGGATCTTCCCAGACTGGGACACGAACCCGTGTCCCCTGCATCGGCAGGCAGACCTACCGTAGAGAGAATGTGTGGATTGAGAGCAAATGGCACTGGGCAGTGTCTTCCTCTGAATGCCCACAGCAGGGAAACTGAGAGAAATCCAGTCATAAACAAATAATACTGCTTGGTTTGTCCTATAACTTAGTATTTCTAATATCATGGTATTCAGGTAACTTAAAAAATACTTAAACTACATGTCTAGGTAAAATTTTCCAATAAGTTATTTTATCAATACCAAAATTAAATGAAGTTAAGTAAAATTAAATGTATCAAATTGAATAATCATTTTAACATGTCTAAAGGAAGGAAAAATCATATTTTTTCAATAAAACAAAAATAAGATATATATTACATGTGACCAAATTTATAAGTATTTCTATGTGTAACTTTAACATTTTATTTTGATCAATTGATTAGAAAATGTGAAACTTTTGTATCAGGAATTAGTTAATTTTCATTTTATAAACATCCTGTAATTTCTGGGGCTGAATCAGATAATGCAATTTATTGATTGTTGGCCTTATTTGTATAGTTAAGTGGCTTGAAATGGAGACTTTCTCAAACTATTTTCATGAAGTTTAGCTTATTTTCTCAAAATGTCATTCATTTTACAAGTAAAGTGCGTTTAAACTCAGTGGTGTGTTATTTGGCATTGTCCACAGTTTGACCTCTTAATACTGATACTTTTGGTCTCTTACAACTTTTAAAATTTGAGCTACTCAAGCAAATGAAGTAGCCTGCTGTGAATCCCTGCTATTCTTTTTAGACAATTCTGAGCTTATACAATTAGGTATACTATGATATTTAGTAACTGCCTACAAGTGACAGAATGAAGAAAAATCAGTAAAATGGGGCTTCCCTGGTGGTGTCGCAGTTGTTGAGAGTCCACCTGCCGATGCAGGGGACACGGGTTCGTGCCCCAGTCCGAGAAGATTCCACATGCCAGGGAGCGGCTGGGCCCGTGAGCCATGGCCGCTGAGCCTGCGCGTCCGGAGCCTGTGCTCCGCAACGGGAGAAGCCACAACAGTGAGAGCCCGAAATCAGTAAAATGATAAGAACTTTCTCTAAGAAGTGATGTAAAACTGAATTTTAAAATATAAATTATTTTAGAAAAGCTGAGAATATGTCATATAAATATATAAATTTTGCTTTGTTATTTTTGCTTTAGAATAAAAAGGCATATACTCAGTGATGCATAGATTAATAGGATATTTTATCCTAAATCTATTCTTAAGTAATATCTAAAATTTGTAACTATTATTTACAATTTAAAACAATAAATTCTAATAAATGTGCTGTATCTTTTTTCTTACTTACAAATTTGTTACAATTGTTGGTGTTGAAATTATAGTGCTCTATCCATCTATACAGGAGCTAGCTATGGAGTCAACACTTGACACAAATGGATACGTTGCTTTTGAACAATTTTATGACTTTTGTAACCTGTTGAAATATCAAATACAACTGGTAATGATATATCCCATTGGGGGCGGGGGAATAGTAAAATGCATTTATTCAGATACTCAATGAGACAAAAGACGGAAAATGTAAGTGCTCTTCCTGCTATTACCATGTCAATCAGAAATATATGGAGAAAACAGCCACAAATTAAGTGAAAATCCAGATGCCAGAAGCATAAAGCATTTTACTTGGCCTCCGCATAGTGAAGTTTAAAGTATACACATTGACATAAATAAGCTTAAGATATATATTATTGTTTTCAGTGAAAGAATGCTACCTTTTATTATGAAAAAATTTTAAAATACCCAAGAAAATGGAGATAATCACTACTTCTCATCGACGCTAAGTATTCAGAGCAATATGCCTCATTACTAGAGCCTGCAAACTCACCCAGGAAGCAAGTATCAAACTGTGTTAAATACAATAACTGCATGACACTCATTTCACTGCTGTGTACAGATAGATCCATACACACCATCTGCTTACATTTAAACACATATAAAGGTAACATAAATGTTTTCTATCAAAAATCTAACTTATTTAATAAAGGTGATTGTTTTAATAATGAATATGTTTTCTTTATTCCCTTCAACAATATCGCAATCTAGTCAATTCCACCAGTCTGTGAAGAAAATCATTCCTGACATGAGTACATTCAGCTTGTGAAGACAGTCTTGAAATTGTTACTTTTGAACATAAATATTTCTCTTTTTATATAATCGATAGCATATTTTCTATAATAATGACTAATTTGCTATTAACTGCACCAAAAATGTAAAGCAAATAAAAGTTGTTTCCAGAAAAAATAATGGATAAGTATTCTTTGGGAAAATTCAAATTTTACATTTAAAATTTATACTCTTAAATGTGATACTGACCCCCCAGGGCAGTTGCATGTAGACTCATTGATACATTCTTCACATAAACTTCTATTTTGACTTGGTGGTTTGTCCCAGTACTTGGTTTTAACTGCTCATTTTTCAGGTTACGTAACAAAAACCCAAATACAAAGTTGGTATATGCCGATAAGGCAGAAGTATTTAAATACACAAACACTAAGTTTTGTCATCTTAATGATTTTGTGTATTACTGGACATGGTTTATTATAAAATGCATGGTTTCAAAATAATTCATGTCTGTTAATATATTACACTTTCAAGTACCCAAAGTGATACTGACCTTTCTTTCTCTTCTATTCTCAAAAACTTAAAAATTAAATTGTAATATATATTACAATTTTCCTTGTCTTTGCCTATGTAAAAGTATAACCTCAGCACTATTTGTTAATCTATTTTATTTTTCTGTCAAAAGTCAATAGATGTTGTACTTCTTGTTCTTTTTGGCATTGAACTTTGAAGAGAACAAGTCTTATTCTATAGTAATCTTTATTTTTATTTTTTAAAAAATATTTTAAGCTCAAGATAGTGAATTAAATACATTAATATTGGTCTCACAATTTCAAATTATAATTTTAAATGTCTTATACAACTTAAAAATTGACTTATATATATTTTAACTTCTATTATAATTCTTTAGCATTTGTTTTGGTTTTATTTAGTAATCCATGTTAGCAGTTTGTTGACTCTCCTTTTTAATAACCTCTCATTTTTACTATTGCCTTTATGTTTAGTAAAACTCTTCCATATTTATTCTTCACATCACAATTTTGACTTTTATACTCATTCTACTAATTGCTTCTAATGGAGATTTTATTTCTTCTCCTGTATTAATCTTTAGC